GATGCGAGGTGTCCCAATATGAGTGGGGAAGCCATCAGGGTTAAACCCCCAGGAAGATCATTTTGTTAGTTCAAGCTAGCTCCTGAACACTGTTTTCTCTTCTTACAAGGACATGGCCATTTAGCTGGGTTCCTTTCCTTTCCTCTCTGGAGATTTTCTCCCTCCCTCCCTCCCACCCTCTCTTCCTTCCTCCCTCCCTCTCTGCCTCCCTCCCTCCCTCCCTCCCTTCCTTCTTTCCTTCCTTCCTCCTTTTCTTTGTGCAGGGTCTCTGTCTATCACCCAGGCTGGAGTGCAGTGGTGCAATCACAACTCACTGTAGTCGACCTCCTGGGCTCAAGCACTCTACTCACCTCAGCCTCCCAAGTAGCTGGAACTATAGGTGTGCAACACCATGCCCAGCTAGTTTGTTGTTTTTTTTTTTTTTTGTAGAGACAAGGTCTCCCTATGATGCCCAGGCCGGTGGTGTCAAACTCCTGAGCTTAAGTGATCCTCCTGCCTCAGCCTCCCAAAGTGCTGAGATTAAAGGTGTGAGCCAGCGTGCCCAGTGACTCTGGGGATTTTTTTCCCCCTGAACTGGGAGCCATATAATATATCCAAATTGATCATCTGCACCCTCTTTCTTCCTTCCTACAAGCTGTTAGAGCCTCAGCCTGCTTACTGTCTACCCACACAATCCCTGGGGCTCCTCACTCCTCTGGATTGGAAGCTGAGGGGGATGCCATCTCCTCAGCTCTCCCCACACTTATTTGCCTCTCTGTTCACGTATCTCTAAAGACAACTACACGGTATCTTTTCCTTTGAAGGATTTTACAGTTTATCATCATGGGAAAGAGCCCCAAGGTTACCAAGTCACTAGCCTGGGGGAAGGTGTGAATATTTAAGAAACCTACGAAACTTCTGCCAGGCCTGGTCTCTGGAATGAAAGGGCAGCCAGTAGCCTGGCTCCTTCTCCTCTCCTCTTAGTCCTGGCTTGAAGACACCAAGCAGGGCAACTGTTCATATCCCCTTTGCCTCAGACATGACTGCATCTGAGCTTCTCCCAATTGGTTGGTTATTTATTTATTTATCTTGGGATGGAACTTGCTCTGTTGCCCAGGCTGGAGTGTAATGGCACTATCTCAGCTCACTGCAACCTCTGCCTCCCATATTCAAGTGATTCTTCTGCCTCAGCCTCCCGAGTAGCTGGGATTACAGGCGCCTGCCACCACCCCAGGCTAATTTTTGTATTTTTAGTAGAGACAGGGTTTTGCCATGTTGGTCAGTCTACTCTTGAACTCCTGAGCTCAGGTGATCTGCCTGCCTCGGCCTCTCATAGTGTTGGGATTACAGGCGTGAGCCACCAAGCCTGATCCTCGCTCTTTCTGACTCCCCTTTTCTAGTTTGATGCTTCCTGGCTATCCACTTCCAACCTTCTACTTTGGAGTCATTCCCATCTCTTCCAAAGCAACCCTTCCTTTATTCCCAGTAAAAGCCACATTATGTCCTTCCCTTTCCCAACATTCTCAGGGGAGACCTACTCACTGGGGAATCCACTACGGTGTGACCAGTATGGTGGAGGGAGGAAGTGGTTGCTGATGTGTCCCTCCCCACTCCCTAGGCTCCCCTAAAATCCCATACCCCACACCGACCGTCCACTATCCCAAGAGAACCTGTTTGAGGGTAATGGGTAGAGTTGGCAGTGACAAGAGTAACCACCAGGGGGAGCCTGTGTCTAAGAAGAGACTGAGGGCGCCTAGGGTAGCCACTCAGGATTTTTTCTTCATTCTTGGGCAGTAAGGCTGCCAGGCATTCCAGCTTGGGGTGGCGTCTTATGGACCTGGGAATCCAGAGCTCCGTCCTCCCCTCTTTCTGGCTCTCCTCTTTTCCTGATTACACAAGAAACTGCTACATCTACACAGCGTGGAACACTTCCAAAGGACAGGTTAGGAAGAATATGGCCCCTGCAGGGCCTTATTTTTTATTTTTTGAAGACAGGTTCTCACTCTATTACCCAGACTAGAGTGCAGTGGTGTGATCACAGCTCACTGCAGATTTGACCTCCTGGGCCCAAGCAATCCTCCCACTTCAACCTCCTGAGAAGCTGGGACTACAGGTGTGTGCCACCATACCTGGCTAATTTTTTTTTTTTTTTTTGAGACGGAGTTTCACTCTTGTTACCCAGGCTGGAGTGCAATGGCGCGATCTCGGCTCACCGCAACCTCCGCCTCCTGGGTTCAGGCAATTCTCCTGCCTCAACCTCCTGAGTAGCTGGGATTACAGGCACGCGCCACCATGCCCAGCTAATGTTTTGTATTTTTAGTAGAGACGGGGTTTCACCATGTTGACCAGGATGGTCTCGATCTCTTGACCTCGTGATCCACCCGCCTCGGCCTCCCAAAGTGCTGGGATTACAGGCTTGAGCCACCGTGTCCGGCCAATTTTTTGTATTTTTTATAGAGACAGGGTTTTGCCATGTTGCCCAGGCTGGTCTTGAACTCCTGGGCTCAATCTCTTTGCCTGCCTCAGCCTCCCAAAGCGCTAGGATTACAGGTATGAGCCACTGTGCCCAGCCTGGACAGCCATATTCAACATAAGGATCAATCTTCCAGACCTTTGACCTCAACCCACAGTTTTCACTAGCTCCTGTCACCAGTCTCTCCACTGGAACCTCATTGACTCAGGCTCTCCTATCTCTTCTCAATCTGTCCTGGTTTGGGGATCAGGGGGCCCTGGGTAGTACCAGTTATGTCCATTCCTTTCACTGCCACCTTAACTCCCAAGATGGTCCCAGCTCAGTAGCTTCTTCATCCCTGCCACTGCCCTTGGTGATTTGGTTCTGCCTTCAGATCCACCTGATTGACTTCCATCAATTTCAGGGCTGGATCAACCAAAGAGTCAGTCTGGCTTATAGAAAGGAAGAAAGCCAGATAATCTCTAAAGGCCAGAGCTTAATCCCTTCTTCTCACCCCAGGTCATAGAGCCTTGTCAGTTCCTGCATCCACAATAATAATTAGGCTGGGCTTGGTGGCTCACTCCTGTAATCCCAGCACTTTCAGAGGCCGAGGTGGGTGGATCACCTGAAGGAGTTCGAGACCTGCATGACCAACATGGAGAAACCCCGTCTCTACTAAAAATACAAAATTAGCTGGGCATGGTGGCATATGCCTGTAATCCCAGCTACTCAGGAGCCTGAGGAGAATGGTTTGAACCTGGGAGGCAGAATTTGCCGGGAGCTGAGATCGCACCATTGCACTCTAGCCTGGGCAACAAGAGTGAAACTCCGTCTCAAAAACAAAACAACAACAACAATAATAATATTTAAACCTACTAGGAGCCTGGCATTTTGATACATGCTGAGGATACCAAAATACAAACAGCCATGGGCTGTGCCCCCAAGGAACTTGTATACTAATCAGGGAGATGAACAAATAACTAGGCAATCACAGTATAAAAAAAGAGTGGCTGGAGAGAAGACTGGAGAGGCAGTGCCAGACACAAAGGAAGGGATAGCTTTGTTAGGAGTTTGGCCTTTACCTTGAATATTGGAGTAAGTGCTGAACTTGATCAGATTTGCTATAGTATACAATACTCTGGGTAATCAAGGTTAGATTTGAGGAGACAAGGATACCAATTATAAAGCCACTAAAATAGTCTCAATGACAGGTGGCTAGAGCCAGGCTGAAGGCAAGGTCAGGGTATGGGAGAAGAGCAGGAGTGTTTTTTAGACACTGGCCCACTGTGGCCACCAGGTCCAATTTCCTGCGGACCACATGTAGAAGGTGTGTGGCTCTGACCTCTAATCCTTACAGGTTTAAGAAGACATAAGTGGCTGTAGTCCTGTGGTCTGGTCATTGGGCAGCACGGAGACTGCAGTCTGTGTTTGAACAGAGGATTCCTTGGTGCAGGAAAAAAACGTATAGAACTGGAACTGACAAGGTTGTGAATATGGGTAGGCAGTAGGAAAATGAAAAGGGATGTATTTTGCAGTATCTGGATTTAAAAAAAAGAAACAAAGAAAAAGAGAGGTTTTCCTGGGAACGGTGCCTCATGCCTGTAATCCTGGCACTTTGGGAGGCCGAGGCAAGTGGATCACCTGAGGTCAGGAGTTCGAGACCAGCCTAACCAACAAGGTGAAACCCCGTTTCTACTAAAAATACAAAAATTAGCTGGGTGTGGTGGCAGGCGCCTGTAGTCCCA